CTGTACAATTACACAAGGAGTAAAACTATAGCCTAAAAATTAAATAACAAATGCCACTTAATAAATAAGCTCAAACCTAAAACCTATTACATCATTGCTGAACATAACTGGAAATTCAAACTAAAGTACTCCATTAAGGTATATAACCCAATCGCGTAGTTTTATCCAATCCTTAAAGATCTGAAAAGAAAAATAATAATTATGGGGTGCGCTCAACAACTCAGCAAGTAATCAAATGCTTAATCAGTTAGATTAACTAGTGTAGTCATACAAGATTTCACATAGTTATTGTGAAAAATAATAATGTTTTCAATAATTACAAAAATTTATGCCATCATGAAACCAAAATTCCAACAATGAGATCATTTTTCTACATACACAATTAAGTAGTATACTTACATCACACAAGCCACAAGATAATCTACATTACGAGTCAAGTTTAACCCCCCTGATTTAGTCACAGGTTACAGTCTGTCACTCTAACTTGGGTCACAGCCACACATTTTTTTTGATAGCAAAATAGTTTGGTTGCATATATAGTTCTCGAACTATCGATTTATGACACACAAAATTAAGGTACAAAGTATCTAATTTTTTAATGAATCTTTCGTTATAAACAATATATCAATTCACAAGAATTCGTAAAGTATCAAATCCATGACGGTAGATCACTTGATCCGTTCCCAATCAAAATCATTGACAAATAAACTTATATAAACGTGCATTTACAACAATAAGCAGTTTTAATATAAACCAATTATACGTTATCAAAAACACATGTTAGGAATTATGTCACTCTAAAAATTCTAATATAGAAAGCAGTTCTGAAATCAATCCTTGTGTATCATCTCAACCTGTACCAGTTAGAATCTCTTCGACTGAATTATTCATCACTGTTCTTGAATTTCCGAGCCTCTTCCATGAAATCATTTGAATCCCTTTGGCTTTAGGAGCCATCATAACATTTTTTTTTAAGAAAAAGAATGACGGAGAAAATTTAGGTTTTCTTGTCCCCCCTCTTGACGCCTCATACTAAAACTAAAAGTTAAAATTAATGATTGGCCCTTGAACTTTTATTTTATTAATGAACCTATCCAATCCTTAAAATTACAATTCTTAACCGTCAATATAAATTCTATTGCCCAATTCTTAGCAACACAAACAATAATAAATATTTTTTTCAGCGCATCATATGCTTAAGAAATGAGATTAAACCTTTTTAGCCATTGTAAGATATATCTAAGAATATAAATCTATGTACCGTCTTTCAAATCTAGAACTTCCAGAGTTTCATAATTTACAAATTACTTGACAACAGAATGAGTGAATAATAAATACAAATATATAGAGCCGGGATATGAACCTATCAAGAAATAGCAATGTTGGTTGCAATACAGATTTCGTTGCCTAAAGAAAAAAACCAAGAGAATTGGTACAAATATCAATTTATTAGTTTGAGAATAAAAAGAGGTTAGAATCTTTGTAATTTTCTTGAAACAAAGAAAGAAGCCCTCTAATTCTTATTCTTCCCTTGAAATTGATTTGATCAAAGGATTCAAAGGCTTGTTCTTCAACTGAAAGGGTATTTTCTTGTCCATACTCGTATAGAACAAACCATGATAGACATAACCTATCTATAGATTTAACATTATGGACTAGCAAATCTTGTGAATTATTACCTGGATCATTCGTGCAATTTGAACATGTCATGCTGGGTAGATAAAATGTTGTTCTCTTTGACACAAAAAAGGATTCATCTAGCTTTTTGCACATCCAATGAACTGCTGCCACCATAGCCTTGAGTTTTTAGTAAGATGCCATTTCAGAAGAGAATGAAATTAAAAAACTATGTCCAAATATAATAATCATCTCTTATATTGTATTGAGCTCTACTAATGGATACGATGTGGTTACAGATGTTTCTGTCTATCATATATTCACTATTTCTGAATTGATATTAACATAAATCGTACGTGCACTTGAATTGATTGACAATTACAAGCTTAGATGGACATTACATTTGAATTACCTTCATTCGGGATAGACTAATTTTATTCTGCATGAGCAGGGAGGGTGATTTGCTACAATGTTATGGCGTGCTTACCATTGATACTGAGCAAAATACCGTTGCTGCTAGAGGAAACATAGATTTATCCAAGCTAGCCATCGTTATATAGCCCTTTTCCCCGGCAAAAGTTCTAATAATACTGCCCCAAGACCACAGACATCAACACTCTTCACTGTCAATACATGTAGACCAAAGTATTCTGTACCAATGTAGCCTACTGGCTTGGTCAGCCTATTATCGCACTTGGACTCTGGAATGTTTAGTAATAATCGAAAATCCAGAAACTTTAGCAATTCAATTTGCATCAATCAGTATGTTGGTAGATTTAATCTCTGTAAATTATGGTGGAGTTGCGTAGTTGTCAAGGTTATACATAAATGCGCTCTTGGTTTTATATGGTAATGACTGATAACTCACTCTTGCCAAAATGGTGTATTTTTGCAATTTCAGTCCAGAAGACAAAGTCAATGCTACTCTGCACTCTGCAGTATCCCTGACTAACGCTCAAGCTCTTGTAAGTATAGTTTTTCTAAAAATGGACATTGAATATTCATAAATGTATATCTGTTAACATCCATTAGTCGGGCCTTAGCAGTTTTCTTGGCCAAATACTACTATAACACAAGGGTACACAGAAAATTAAATAGCAGCTAAAGAAATCAATTATGATTGCTATTCCAAAAAGTATAGAAATATCCTTTCACTCACTTTATAATCACTAAATATATGAATGATTTCTTGCATTCATCTGCTGTTAGAATCTAATAATAAGGAGCTATTGGCCATCAAGTTACTGCATTGTTATGAAGGCAATTAAGTCTTATATCCAAAAACTCAAAACAAAAAAGATTCATTATTGTTTCTGTGCCTACTTACAGTTGTAAGTTGTGATCACTGACCAAGAAGGAAAGCCCCAAGATGATTCAGTGCATGACAGGCCTTTGCAGCAAGTAAATCATATTGTGAATATCAAGCATATTTTTATGTAGCAGGCAGTTTCAGGTCATTATCCCCAATATGAATGATTTCTTGCATTTATCTGCTGTTAGAATCTAATAATGTGGAGTTTTTGGCCATAAAGTTACTGCATTATAATGAAGGCAGTTAAGTCTAATATTCAAAAACTAAACACAAAAAATATTCATTAATGTTTTTATGCCTACCTACAGTTGTAAGTTGTGATCACCGACCAAGGAGGAAAGCCCGCAGATGATTCATTGCATGACAGGTCTTTGCAGGAAGTAAATTATGTTCTGAATACCAAGCATATTTTTATGTAGCAGGCAGTTTCAGGTCATTATCCCCGAAGATGTGCATTAGCCTGAAATGGTTCTACCCATTCGCAATTCTTCATTACCCCCAAAGATGTCCATTGGCCTGAAATGGTTTTTATCCATTTGCATTATACACTCAAAGCAATTCAACAACCAGATCATCCTTTTTTGCGTAAGGATTAAAGTTTCAGTTGGCTATAGTAGGTTACCGCCAGAAATAATGAAACATTATGTCTGAAAACCAAAATAGAATAAAAATACAAGCACAAAAACAGAGAGCTAGTCTTTTATTTCCTTTTTCAGGACTAAGGTAACAATTTTAAATCTAACCAATTCCTTGGCAATTATGATATCGTTCCCCATCAATATCAGTAAATTTCTGCATCTCCATTTTCTATTAAAAACTCAAAACATGCAATATATGTTATGCGGTTTAATGTCCAACAAATGCCTTCACAATAGAAAGGCCTTCGTCATTGCATCAACAGGCTTCTTCATCTGATTATCTTTGTAGTATAGATATGCCAGTTGGTCCCATGCCTCTGCAGGAACCTTCATTCCACTCGCCACAGCTTCGTACCACTGCTTCTGCCTGTCCCAGCAATCTCATTTCAGCTTAAGCATTAAACAAGTCCTCAAAAACTTCCAAGTCATAAGCCATGGGTTTTCAGAGATTCCCCTTCCTGGAAAATCCTTTCAGTTCCTCAAATGTCATCCCAACTGATTGAAAATCGTATCATGTCATGATGCTCTGAGTTGCTTACATTGCCCCTCTTGTTGCACAGATGCCAGAGTTGACGACTGAATTCTAGTTCTTGTTAGTCGAGTGCGAATTCATATCAAGGAGAAGTTTGTGAACATATACCGCACACTCTGCTCCCCCCTTGAGTGTCTCTGCCTTGTTCAGTATCTCAGAAGACTTTTTTGCCAGGCTAGCTTTTAAGCATTCCTTTGCTGCCATGAAAAAGAAATGTTGGATCCTGCATGAACTAGAGCCTCCATCTCGATTTTCTTCAAGACTTTTCCTGTGGCTTTAGTATAATAATCAGCAGCATATGCTTTCAACAAGAAGTAGTACTCAAAGTTGCTGCAACAAAATGCCTTTTGTTTCCATTCCTTTCACAAACTTCTCGAAGTCTCTTAGTCTATCACAACTCAAATTAGAGGTTAAGCATTTTCATGTATGATAACTTTTGTGTTACAACGAGATGCTGTCATTCTCTGCATAAGTTCCTTAGTTTTCTTCATCAACTTCTTGGCATAGCAACTTGAAAGAGCACCATAAGCTTTGGATGTTTTACAAACTGTCTTGAGACATTATTGAAGTAGTCATCTGCCTCTTTTACTCGTGCCTGAGAGAAACAATTTTAGCCTGTCAGCAACATCTCCAGGTGATAGGTTGGAATTGCCACTCATCCCTGCAACCGACTAATTAAAAAAAAGAACTCTCAGGCAGCTATTAGCATCGACCACTAACCTCCAGGTGTAGGTAGGAAGCTATGGCTAAGGGCGCTCCAGTGGTCATTGTGATTGTATTGGTTATATCTGTTTACATCTCCATACATTTCCAGCTGCAAGGACACAAGAAATCAAGCAACATTCATGGAAATGGCATTATGTTTAATGCAACCGTGTCCAAGACAAGACCTGGAGCATATAGAAAGATAATGGATGCCATTGCATCGGCACCCATTCAGAGTCAATCCAGGTACTACATTCATGTGGAGGCGGGTATTTATGAGGAGATTGTGGAAGTGTGGGGAAATAAGACAAATATAGCTTTGATTGGAGACGGTGAAAATTTAACCAAAATCACAATGAACAGGAGATTCCCTGAGTTCAAAACTTACAAAACTGCCACTGTTTGTAAGGACTTCTGACTGCAATTTATGCTTTCTATTTTTGCTTTAGTAGGATCACAACATTTCAGCTTTTTTACGTCTAAATGGTGAATTTTAATGAAAAGTTGAGTAGTAAAAGGCAGAGTGGGTAAAACAGGGGACATCAGAAGTCTTCCTTTTGTTTCTTCTTTCTTTTTTCTTCACCACACTATAGCACTTCACCATTTGTCTGTTGCAGTTCATTGAAGCTCTCCTTTTAATGCAGCAAAGAAGCCTTCTAGTAGGTTTAAACAAGTCTATTCCAATTATTTAGGTGATATGGCTGTGTTTCAGAAACTTTATTAGCTAGAATTTGATATCAATATTGTCTATGTTATTGAGTCCGCGTGTGTTATGGTACTAAAGTGAGATACGGAATGGATTTATCTTAGTTTTACATAAAGGCCTAGTTGCCAGATTGTTTGCATGTGAGAAAACAATAATCAGAAATTTAGTCTCTCAATTTATGTTCTTATTCTCACCCTCTCTCACCTTGTGATTTTGCCCTTTTATCCAAAGGCCTTACAGTCTGTTTCGTTTTGTTTATCAAATCAAACCTCACTGCTTTGTCCTATTTCTTCATATTCATTCTTCCAAGAGAAGTTTAAATGAATATTTTTTAGGGCCTACAAGCATGTACAAAAGGAAGGAAAACTGAGTTAACTGATAACAATTACCCAATGGGCAAAATTAATGCATTTACACTAAGAAGCCTAAGGAAATCGTAGTGGTTCATAAGCTTGCAGAAGTATCCTAAACCATGTAAATATAATCAAATAAAGCATGCCTGCAACTGAAGAAGGTGAAAAAAGTTGAACAACAAAATGAAAGCACTCAGATAAAGATAACTGCACACTTACAGAAATGCAACTTCAGCATTTAATTGTTGCCTATATCCATATCAAACACAAGATTTCAACAATATCAAACATGCACACTTTGTTTCTTCCCATATAGTATCCTAAACCATGTAAATATGACCAAATAAAGCATGCCTACAACTGGAGAAGGTAAAAAAAGTTGAACAACAAAATGCAAACACTCAGATAAAGATAATCGCACACACACAGAAATGCAACTTCAGCATTTAATTGTTGCCTATATCCATATCAAACACAAGATTTCAACAATATCAAACATGCACACATTGTGTCTTCCCATATAGTATGTACCCTCTACTACGTCTAGCTCTACAAAGTTACAGTGGCTTTCGAATTTCAAAACTTTAATGCTTCAAGCTCATTTGATTCTTGCAGCAATCTATTCTCCTTGGAGTACTACTACAATTTCACATACACCATGCTGCATTATTAAGATTATGTAATTCATACATTCAACACTGTACGATGTCTAAATTTAATAACATAGAATAGACGCCCATCGTAAATACTGCTGACTTCTTTGCAGGAAGCTTACTTCTTTGGCAATAATAATATCAACTTATCAGTAGAAAGAATATTCAAAGATCATATATACATAAAGAGATTTTCAGGTTGCATAGTTTTGGAAGATAAAGATTTTGAAGTTCATTTTGGTTTTTCAGTGGCACAAATAATGCACATAGGATTTAAAATTTTGAGCAAGCTGTATTTACCATTTCTTTTCCTTTCTTTTTTTCTTTTCATAAACATTATCTTTTCTTTTCCATTTCATGGCAAATGAAGCTTATTAAAATGCAATTACATGACATTGCTTGCAGCTGTTAAAGGTTATCGATTCATGGCAAAGTACATTACTTTCGAAAACTCAGCAGGAGAAGGCAGTCAAGCTGTTGCCCTAATGTCCGAGTCTGACCAATCATCATTTTACAGATGTTCATTTTTAGGGTACCAGGACACACTCTATGCAAAGTCGGGCAAGCAATTTTACAAGGAGTGTGACATCTATGGCACTGTTGATTTTGTGTTTGGTGATGCTGCAGCAGTTTTTCAAAGCTGCAACCTTTATGCATGGTTGCCTAACCGCATTATTACTTCAGGGAAAAAAGATCCCCAATCAAGTTAGTGGATTTGTCATTCAAAATTCCACTTTGACGGCAGCCCCAGATTTACAGTCCAACAAATCTCAGGTTCACGCTTTTCTTGGAAGACCGTGGTTTGCATGGTCAACCGTGATTGTGATGCAATCCTACTTGGATAGCATCGTAGATCCAGCTGGGTGGTATGAGTGGCCTGGCCATCGCACAGATGAGCTAACCTATAGAGAATATGGTAATTGGGGCCCTGGTGCAGGAACAGGGAGACGAATTTCATGGGTGGGATATAAAGCATTGAATCAGTCCGAGGAAGTCATTCCTTTCACAGTTTCTAAGTTTATTACTGGGGATTCTTGGATTCCAGAGACTGGAGTCCCTTACACCAGCAGTTTATATTAGTATGAGGCCATATCTCTGAAATCCCTTGTATCAGCAATTTATTTTAGTGCGAGGCCATTATATGGTGTTTTTGTAATGACTTCAAAGACATTACTAGGCTGTGAATGGTGCAAAGCATTTGCGATATGTTCACTAAATAACTAGAAATTGAGTATGACATCCAACAATCGCCACAAGCCTATGGGACTGACCCACAAGCACCTCCAAAAAGACCACTTTATCTTCCTTGGATAGAAGTTAAGAGAAGGTAGTTATGTAAGTTGAGAACCCAACTAGGTTACTAAATTTCTAATCATTAAACTTCCAACTCGCAACTGGCAAATACTATGCACACAAAATACTAAAAGCTGTAAATAATAGCAATGTATTGGTTCTATGTCTCCATGTCTTGCCAAGGCTTCAATACCTGAATTGAGAACAAGTCAAAACCAACATTGCCAAGTAACCCCACCAAAATTTCATGGCATCCTATGAGATTCCTTACTAGTTTTATCTCTGAACAACTCACTGTACTAAAACACAAACCATCCAATTCAGAATTATGAAATCAGTACCTTAGTCCATGATTCACAGTCACCAAGAACACTCCTCTACTTCTTCCTCTCTTTTGTCCCCATGTTAGTGTTCACGGTTATTGTTCACAGCCCTGAAAGAGTCCCAAGTTCCTCTCTTCCTTATGCTCGCGCTAGTACACAAGATCTCATCCAGCTTGCCTATATCAGTTTGGTATTCAGAGCCCCAACTTTCTTCCTCTTTATCAGCCACATTTTCTTCTTCTTTTTTGGCCAATATGGTTACAAATGCAGAACTCTTTCCAAACTTCAAGACTTTCTCGAAAGATTTTGAAAGCAGGTCCAAAAGAAGTTGCTTTGTTAAAAGATAAAAGTGCACGAAATTGAAAAAAAAATAATTAGAAGCTTTGCAACCTTTTCTCTCTACATTAGATGGCATGGCTCATAGATTCAGTTGAATTGAAGCTTTGTTGCTGGGTTAGCAGCCAATTGACACAGCTAGCAACAATATTTTGGAAGCTTTGAGTTCTAATCATCAAAAAGCCATAATAACTGGTTTCCCTTCCCTAACTTTTTCTCTACCAATTTCTCTACTAGTTTCCCAACCATAAGCTGGTTGGACAAATATTCTCATCCATGGAAGCTAAGAGTATAACTAAAAGATCCTTTCCCAAAAAAAGAAGAAGTTTTGGTTTGGAGGAGTCTGTGCATGGTGATTCCTAGGGTCTAACGAATGGTCAAATTTCTCTGCGTGTTCAGTAGTTTCTATTATTAGGCCTTATGTTTTGTCTTTCCTTTGTCACTCAAAATTTCCAGATTGTCATCATTTTGGGCCTCATTTAGTTATCTACAACATTAGGTAAGTCATTCAAGTCATTCTTGTAGGGAAAGGGAAAGTTCCTAAAAGTTCTAAAGTTCTACAAATACTTACTTTCCCAATTTAGGATATGGAAATAGGAGTTTCAGGTAGCTTTTTACTTTATAAATACTTATGTTTCTACGTCATTCTTAGCAGAGAATTTGATGAATAAAGATTGAGTTTTGGTTTATTAGTTGTATTGTTCTCCTCTCGTAGCTTCTCTACCTCTTCCCCTCTTTTCTTACCACGACACTATCCATGATAATGTTCACAGACCCAAAACAGTCTCAAGATCCTTGATCTTCTGCTCACACTAGTAGGCAAGATCTCACCCATCTTGTCCCACATCAATTTTAGAGATATACCATTTGGCGGTGCTCTGAAGCCAACTTTTTGAATATTTCGTGCTACTGATGATTGACATTTAGATATATAACTACATATTTCATTTGCACACTCCTAATGCCTGACATTCCTGGAATCTGTAATTCTGGAGTTTACAATCAGTTCTGTTTGATATGTGTGTTTGCTTATATCATAAGCACTTAAATCACACTTCGTCCTCTTCATTTTTGTGGTAATCTATTTCACTATGTTATAATGCAGCATAAAACTGTTGAAATTTTCACATTTAGGACAATTCGAATTATTATATACTCCCCTGACATAGATGTCCTAAATGATTTGTTACACTTGCATTGCACATACTATATTGGCAATGCTACAGTTGATCAGCCATATACACTTGCATTGCGCATAATATATCGGCAATGCTACAGTTGATCAGATTATGGCTGAGAAGTTCGATTTTGTCACATAGCGTTTTTCTATATTGGATGCAGTATCAACAACCTAAATGACGATCAACTGGCTATTGTACTACTACTGTATGATGTGTTGTGTGGGCAAAGAGAAGCTTCCTGCAGAAGACTTCCAAATTTACAAATAACTTCATCTACCAGTCATCAGACTACTACATCAGGCCAAGAGCAATTCATCGTTGTCAGGATCCTACTTCATCAGGTTGAATTAACAATATGTCACTATGGTAATAGGACCTGTAAATGTAAATGCCTTTCTATATATAAAATATACAACCGTGTGTGTCTAATATGACCTCTCTATATTCTCCTTTGCCAACTAATTCCTACTAACTCTTCTATGGATATAAAAGCAAAATCTGGCCAAACTTACGCAAGACATGAGCACCTAGTCAACTAGTAAATAAACAAAAGATGGCAGAATACAAAGGCAAATAGTTGAAGGGCAAAAAAATTAGAAAGTTCGCAAAGCATCTAGATCAATTTGCATTGCTCTTTTTTCTTCATCAAAATTATCAATGAAGGGCAAAAAAAATATTAGAAAATCCCCATAGCAACTAAATCAATATGAGTTGCTCCTTTTATCAACCAGTTGCCTTCATGATTTTCACTAACTTAATATCAAAGCACATTCTTCTAAGATTGTTATGAATTCACAAGGCGCAAATTGGTGCCTTTATGCCACATTTGCACCTTGTCAACTAATTTTCCTTCCATTCAGATTAGCATGTTGAGTTGTTCGGACTCCTACATAGGTTTGTTTTTTGGGCAGCTAAATTTGAGTTTATCCTATGTTTAAGCCATATTCTAGCCAGATATATAGTTCAACCGGATTTAGCAATATTTTCGGAAAAAGTAACACTTTGCTAAGCTCAAAATTGCCAATGACATCGACACTCCAACAAAATCAAATAGATAAAATTTGTACACAGAATGAGTCAAATAAGGGAGAAAAAAAAAAGAAGAAAAAAATGGCCACCGTATACGCACAAATATACACAAAGAAGGGAGGCAGAATCTAATGCCAGGAGGAAGAGATAGTGCCGGGAGAAGCAACCGTGGGGCACCAACCTTGTAGCCCGGAGAATTGGCTGCGAATTTGGTGCTGGAGCTGACGCCGCTGCGAGATTGTACGTGATCCGACCTCAGATTTGCCTGGCATGCTGTCGTAGCCTCCGGCGGCCTGGGTGCTTCGAATTTTGAGGGGACTCGCCAACCAAATGGCAAAAAAACGCCCAAAAGGCAAAAAGCATTGCTCCAACGACTTCGTTTTTGTGCATCTGAGGTAGGGTTATAAACCAACTGAGTCAAGTTGAGTATTGAACTAATCGAATCCAACCTTGATTTAGTTTTATCGACCTCGAACTCGACGAACTATCAATTTAAAACTCAAGATTGATTTGAGTCGAGATCGAATTCAAGTTCGAAAAAACAAAAAATAATTATTTTTATTCTTTAAAAAATAAATAAAATAATATTTTTCTTAATAAATAATAAAATATTAGAGATATATGTTTTATTTTACTATTAAAATATATATATATATATATATATATATATATATATATATATACGGGACAAGGGATTAGCCCCTTAAACTAAGAAAGTAAATAAAGTAGAAGGAATTGAAAGCATAAATGTTAGGAAGTGGGTCGCAGTCGGACTGTCACTAGTTAATACAGGCGGTTGAACCAGCCATGTATAAACAGAATGTAAATAAAATATAAAAACAAGTTAGAATGTTAGCTCAGGCGGTATAACCGTCCATGGATAATTAGTATAATCAAAGTAAATAAAACAAGTAAATGGATATGAATATGACGCGACTCAGCCGACCATTTGATTGAATGATATTGAATGACAGAATATAAAAGAACTTACAAGATATGAAACTTGCACAAGGCTTGCTCCTTTGTTTGATAAAAACTAAAATATAAAACTAAGAACTTGTTTGTAGAGAGAGGGTGAAGAGTTTCTTCAAGCTAAAGGGAGAAGTAGTCTTGAAGAAATGGTGTTCAAATGGTGTACCGTATTGGGTTTGAGAGGTATTTATAGCAAAAATTTTCGTAGTGCTACAATACCTGCTACAATGATTTTACTGTTGCTACAGTGCTTCGGTGCTACAGGTAATTATGATTTTTTCTGAATTTTGTTCCGATTGAGCCAGGTTGAATGTTTCTAGAAGCATTAGCAAATCATTGCTGATAATTCTTCCAATGCTTCTTTAATCCATTGCTTGTAATGCTGTGTTTTTACTCTCCGTTTCTCAAGTAAATATTTGTTGAGAACCATTCTCTGTATGTATCTTCTTTGCATGAAGTATTGTTCCTTCAAAATTTGTATGGAGTAATTTGATTCTCTTACTCCAATGCGATTGTATCTATGTATATGATAGATAGGAATTCTTTCACCGGTGTCTTTGTTAAAGAATACACTATTAAAGTTTCTGATTCTAGACTCTTTGTGCTCATTTTCCAGATAGTGATATTCTGTCCAAAGTTGTGAGAAATTATCATCCCTGAGTTTGATCTAGAAGGATTGAGTAGTAGGATCTTCAGGAATTATAAATGGATTTCCATCTTCTTTAGTTTCCTGGATCCAGTCTATTGTTGAAGTCTCATCAATTGCTTGGAGACTATTTCATTAGGTACCCAATTTGAAGTAGATTCCACAGGTATCCAGTTTGAGAATGATTCTTTAGGGATCCACTCCCAATTAGTTTGATTCTGGTTTGATGATACTCATTGATTTGATTACTGGATATTTCTTCATGGGAGGTTTGTTCCCAAGTAGAGTATCCATCAAAGAGATAGTTTTTCTCTTCCGAATTGTTTGATGGTGAACTTCCTTTTCCTGCCATGTTTTTGCACAAAGAAGTAGTTAGTTCAAATAATATAGATTAAAAAGTTGGGATATTATCCCTTGACAAGAAATTTGAAAAGGGAGTAATTGGTTGAGAAAGGAGGTTCCTAAGATGATATGGTTAGTCAGATACTTAGATAAAAAGAAGGTATCTGAGAATAGATGTTGTATATTTGAAAATTTGAATTCAATATCAAGTTTAGGATTATTGGTTATTCTAAGGAAAAAAGTTGGATTGGAATAAAGTTTTCAAGAATATGGTTTTGGTCTGACCCTGTGTCAACTAGGGCTTTGGTTTCGGTTACATAATTACCAATAATTAGCAATCGTATATGAACCAAATATTCCTAAAGTAACTAATAATTGTTATTTAGGTTCACAAGGTTAGTTGTTTCTTTCTGAGGATTGTCAAAGATTTTTAGAAAATCCTGGAGTTTTAATTTGCAAAGGTTTTGTTTAAGGGTTTTGAAACTGTCCTTTTCTAGAATATCAAAGAGAAGGCTTTTGGCTAAAGAATAGGTTGGGTTCAAGAATTCTTTGAACCTGTTTAGATAGGGTTGCTTTGTTTCAAAAATATCTCCAATGATGTTAAGAAGAAAATATTGGTTATTAGTCAATAGATTGACTATAAAGCCTTTTTCTTTTTCTTTTTCATCACTGGTGATTGAGGAAAAAGATGTTGAAATATAATTGTCACAATCTTCTTTTTGTTCAGATTTGTCAGCATCTGAATCGATCAAAGGTTTTAACAGTTGGGTTGCTAGAATATTGATTTTTTGGTTGAATTTGTAATATTGGGTATTAGGTTCATGGAGTTTGAAAGTGGATAAGGCTGGTTGTTTTGTAGAAAAAAGTCTTTCAAGACTTACAAGTTTGGACTTTGTATGGTAGAAAGGGTTTTCATGGATTTTTATAGGTTTGGGCTTTTTACTAGACTTTGTATGGTGGCTAAATAGCCTAAACTATTTGTAAAAAGATCTAAGATCAGATCCAAGATTTCTTTCTTGGTGTTGTTTTTCTGTAGATCGCTTGGAGAGCCAACCTTCTTGTTGGCTTTGTTCATAAATTGTTTCTTTCCAAGACTTAATCTCTTTGTATTGAAGTCTGAGAAAGCCTTTGAGAAAGCCTTTGAGAAAGTCCTCCTTGTTTCTATCTGACTTTGTCAGGAATATATGTTGATCTCTACTGGACTCTAGTAACAG